TTTGCATATCATGGCAAAAGCGCATAATTAAATTATGTCCAGCACACAGACATTCTTCCATATTGTATGAGGGGCGAGCAAACAAGGCCATGCGTACAGAATTTGTTGCTTAATTTGAAAACCTCAGTACCAGCTCAAACAACTTGGCCACATTTGTAACGATATGCATACTTGACGCCAAATTGTTTGTCATTTTTCGTTCATTCTGCACTTCAATGTATGATTTAAATATAAAATGTTGCTTTGATTCTCATTAATTTAAATTAGTATACAATTTAAGTATAATTAAAAAATGTCTGTCAGTTAAAAAAAAAAAACTTCTTAAACTAAAATTTTTCATTTACTCAAATTAATTATAGAACAACAGCAATTAAGACGGCGCACCCTTTGGTTGGCCATCTTGCTAAATATCAAGATTTATAATAATAAAATGGGAAATAATAATAATGATAAAAATCATTCATTTTTAAACCAAACCCTACTTAGAATTTGCTATATATATATGCTGTGCAGCTAAAATTTATACAAATTAAATTTCTTTGAATGATGGTTCGAATATTTTTAGGAGTCCATTTCTATATTCATTTGAATACGTAACTTTATAATATTTTTTGTAAAAGTGTAATAATTTACCAAATAATAGCAAATAATTTAAGCAATTAATAGATTCTGCTTGCTCAGTCTTCTGAAGACACATTAAAGCAGACATTTATATACATATATACATATATATCTACCTATCCCTTATGGATAATTCCCTGCCGTCTGCGCACAATCATTTCGATTGTTCAGTTGTTTTCATTGTCTGTTGATGCATCAAATGCATCATTAAATTGACAGTTAAGTGTGGCAACAGCGGACTCTTAAGGGACGCAGCAAGAGTTGTGTTAGTTTCTAGAACAATAAAATAGGCGTATACCACAAATACGCACACAGTTTCAATGGATTTAACGTGTGGTTAGCTGTGGCACACACCCATACCCATGCACACACACACACACACACACAGTCAATGCATATTTGTTCAGCATGCACATTTAATTAGTTTCGCACGCTAGCAACAACAACAATTTAGCCATTAATTATTTGCAAATGACAATTTGAGATGCAAATCTGCCAGTGCAAAACACAAAACACACAAAAGCCAAAAAATATTCAATCAATGGCAAATATATTTACCTGCATGTAAAATGTTATTGTAATAGCCAAAACCATAAAACATATATCAAATCGCTTATATGTATTTCATATTTTATAGTTCTATTTGTTGTTTTTAGTGTCCTTCCAGCGAGCCACATGGCAGCAATAAAACAAATGCGTACATGAAACATTTCGTTCGACATGTCATCATAAATTGTTCCTAATAAAATTCTACAAACACAACAAAATAAAGAAAGAAAATATGTTGTGAAAATTGTAAAAATAAAATATATTATATATATATACATATATACATATTTCACGATAACGACTTTACTTTCCGGCCGCCTGCTGGAATATTAAATTGCCCAACTGGCCGTAAATTGATTTATAAATAAATAGTAAATGGTGCAAAGGTTAAGAGGTAGTAGCGGCAATAAATTTGTTAGTGACAAATGACTTGCATCAATTAGGGAACTTAATTAAATATTTTTTTTTTGGAATTTTATTGATTTATTAACCGAATGGAAGTAGAGACTGGCGAATATTACATTTGAATAAAATACATTAATTGCTAAAAAAAAATTTTTTATAATGCTATATTATTATTATTATTGTTATTATTATTATTATTATTATTTTTATTATTATTATTATTATTATTATTATTATATTATTATTATTATTATTATTTTTATTATTCTTATTATTATTAATATAATTATTATTATGGGAATATTCATTATTCATTATCAATATAATGATATTGCTATTATTGTTTTCTAATTATTTTAATAACTGCGTTACCTCGGAACGTCTCCAACTATGCTGCTTACAAATTCATTAATAATGTACTTAACATTTAAAATAAATCTACCAAAATCTTAAATTCACTGATTCGCATGCCTATAAGCATAAGTACAGCTATTAACTCAGTTTTATGCACTTAACACAAATCGATATTTAATGACACAGCATAGCCACGCCCATGCACATCACACACACACATTCACACGAAAGCACGCACATAGATACACTTCCAGTAGTGAGCACATACATCATTGTCAATGTCAAAGTGTCAAAGCAAAACTTGCACAGACCAAAGCTGGCGGCCCTTTGTTTCAAGCCGAGCACAATAACCCAGGCGACTTTTGTGGGGGGTGGGTGGCCTTTAGCATGCCACGCCCACAATGTAAAGCCAAAGCCATACTGTGGCATTTATGATGTTGCAGGTTTCTGGTCGTAAGCATCAAGTAAACTGCAATTTACAAAAGAAAACTTCTTTTTTTTTATTTAGCCAGAGCCAAAATCGACTTGCGACAAGTTTGAAGCAAACAGCAAACAATTTGAACTGACAAAGTCCAGCGATAAAAATTGCTTAAGTACTTTAGTTGCGCAACGAATGCAGTTGCAAAATGCGGTGAGGGGCGTGATGGGCGGGCAGAGACCGAAAACTTTATTAAACAAACAGGTAAAATCTGGCGGCAAAGGGCCAAAAGTTGCCACTCAGCCAGACTCAGATCAAACACAAGCACAAAAAAAGCAGCACCAACAAAACAAAATACAAAAAATAACTAAGAAAAATACCAAAAAAAAATGACAAAAAAAAACAAAAACATGGCCAAACATATCAACGGCCATATGTCCTGTAGCATATGCCAGGTCCTGCTGCCTTTCGCTGGTTCTGTTTGATTTTATTTTGTGTGCGTGCACGAAAAGTTTCTCAGTTTTTTGTGCTGTGTTCTTTTTTTGTTGCTTTCCTGCGTTATTTTGATGTAGTTGTTATTATTGTTGTGTTTGTAGCTTTGACATTGGCCCTAGCTAACAAGCAGCAGGTCTGAAGTGCAAGGCAAGGATTTGTATGTACTCGCACAGGATTTAAGACCTGCAAGAAAAAATATATATACGTCATCAGAGTATGAAATTAGGGAATACAAAGCTGATGTTCTTCGGACGGAAGCAACTGGAAGCAACTGCATAATCAAACAGCTTAGGCTTAAGCTGAGGAAAATTCTTCCCGAATCATAACAATTAAAATTTTCAAATTTTGTATGACGTTGCATTTTAAATTCAAGATTCTTCAGTTTCGTGTCTCCATTTGGTATGACATTAAATTTTAATCTAATCCATACATATGTTACGCAAAGAAGAATGATTTGCGAATCAACTAATTCAGTTGATCCTTCGAGTAGTCAATTAGTCTCATCTATAAGCCACTCTAATGCAAATCATTTGCTTTGACCTAATATTCAAAGAATAAGCTCTCGAATTGCACTTTGATTTCTGTTTGCAGCTTTACTCGAGAGAGACGCATTTCGGATTTTCAGACAGAGAGAAAGAGCGAGAGAGAGAGAGTGAGAATCCTTTGGTAAGTTAATATACACAAATTGTTCTCAGCTTTGGGTGCAATGAGCTCTGTTTGTTATATCCTGGCCAGGGATATAAGCAAATTGTAAGCGTTTCGTATTGATTTCCATTTTATTAACAATCATTTAAATGCAATGAACTGAAATACAATGCTCAACGCTTGAAGTGAGTATTTTTTGTATACATTTCTCTTTTTTATTTCGCTTTCTTTTTTTTTTACTTGTATTTATTCATTGTGTTGTGCTTGGTGCAGTTGGCATTTCATGGCTGATTTAACCTGGTCTGAAGCGCCTAACAGCGTCACCGTTATGCCAGTTATTGCTCCAGTCAATGTTGTTGTTATTGTGGTTGTTGCTGCTGCTGTTCGTTTTTCATATGTCAGTGGCGTAAATGAAAACGCAAACGGGGCGTATGATTAATGTGGTTTACATATGAAAACGACTGGCAACGCCATGAACCAAACTGTGGCAACGTATGTCTCCGTCTCTGCTTCTGTCTCTTATGCTCCTGTTGCTGTTTTTGTTATTGTTGTTGCTGGCGGCAGTGCTTATTCAATAATTTATAGCTGCCAGCCGCAGCCACTTACAATGTCAGAAAAATATGCGCGAAATATGCATAAAAGTATAACATGCAGACTTTGCTGTTATTGCCACACAAAAATGAAGAAAAAAAATAAAAAAAATCTCAACCCCAAACACTCAACTAACAATCCGAAACATGAGTATTACGTGCCCTTTCATATGGCTTCCAATTGAAAAGCTATTTATAGCTGCATGCCATTCAAAAGATAATACTTTAATATGAACATGTCGGCTTCCAAAGTGTGCCCTTATTATCTATCAATTGGCTGTCAAGCTATATAAATTAATTTAAATAGTTTTGCCAACGCGCACTAATAGTTCTATAAGCTTGAACACATCATATACTGAAAACAATTGATAGTACTGAATCATAAGCTGATAAGCCATAACAGTTGCTTAGTTTGTTATTGGAATACAAAAGCAAATATTAAGCCAATGCGGATTATAAATAATGCATACTCTTCAACTGGAGTATAATACGAATTGCAGAAGAAAATACAAAATTAATAAAATACAAAATTACCAAAATATATTTTAGCGGGAAAATAAGTATGACTTGATTTAATAGAGTTATAGCTGGGGAAAATCTGGAAAAAAAATGCTGAATAATAAATCACATTTTATTTTACAATTTTTGCATCAAACAAGAAAGATTATTTTGGCGGATAATACATTTTTTTATTTTATGTCACAAATGCACAATATTGTATGCATTTTTCTCTGTCGATTCCATTTAAATTTTTGCGTCCACTTTGCATTACTGAGTGATAAACAGAATCCGCATGCCCCAAAGCCAAAGCGCAAAAATCAACAAGTCATTATCATTAATGGCATTTTAATTATGTGTATGCGGCTTGAACTCGAACTGGAAGCGATAAATCTTGGGCTCAACCCGTCGCTGAGTCTGGCGTCTGGCGACAGTACAAAATGAGTGGCCAGAAGATCGGCATCGTTGGCAGCGGCCTGATTGGGCGTGCCTGGGCGATGCTTTTCGCCTCGGCCGGTTATCGTGTGCAGCTCTATGACATCCTGGAGTCGCAGGTGACCACAGCTCTGGCAGAGCTGCGCAAGGAATTGCAGCAACTAGAGTCAAAAGGCAGACTGCGTGGAGAATTGTCAGCTGAGCGGCAATACGCGCTCATCAGTGGCTGCATACAGCTGGAGCAACTCGTGCAGGATGCTCTGCACATTCAGGAATGCGTGCCGGAGCAGCTGGAGCTGAAGCGTTCGCTCTATGCTCAATTGGATGAGCTGCTGGAGCCTCAAACCGTTGTAGCCAGCTCGACGAGCACATTTATGCCCTCGCTCTACACCGAACCGCTGAAACGGCGCTCTCAGGTTAATACTCCATCTCAATCTTCTTCTCTATCTATATCTTTCTACCTAGCTCTAAGTCTATCTCTCCCTCTCTCACACACTCTAACTATAACTCTATTTCTCTTGCTTTATTAATCTCTCTATATTCACAATACTGACAGTCTAACTGATTTCTTCTCGTCTCTCTATCTGTTTCTCTATTGAATACAGATGCTTGTGGCGCATCCACTTAATCCACCCTACTTTATACCCCTCGTAGAACTGGTGCCAGCACCCTGGACCAACACGGAGGCTGTGGAGCGCACACGTACGCTGATGCTGGCGCTGGGTCAGCGTCCGGTGGTGCTAAAAAGGGAGATTCAGGGCTTTGCCACAAATCGCATACAGTACGCCATACTGAATGAGGTGTGGCGCCTGGTGGCAGCGGGCATCATCAGTGTGGCAGATGCGGATCGCGTGCTGAGCGATGGTCTGGGCATGCGCTATGCATTGATGGGTTCATTGGAGACGGCACATCTAAATGCGCCCGGCGGCGTGTCGGACTATTTCCAGCGCTTTGGCGGCGAGATTGCCGCTGTGAGCGCAACCTACGGACCGACACCGAATGTGTGCGCCGAGAGCGAGACGCTGGCCGAGATAGCGCGCCAGTGCGAGCAGCTTGTGCCGCTGGAGGCTTTGGGGCAGCGGCGTGCGGCACGGGACGAGTTTCTAACGCGCCTATCGGAGCTGAAGCGGCAGCTGCCATAAAATAGATTGCACTACTGTATTTCCATTTGTGTTGATTAAAGCGGTGCGCGCTCTGCGAATGGAAGCTATCGAAGCAGCCACCAGCCCATTCATTGAGTACCTCATTGCGTAATTGCAGAGTCCGCTTTCCATTCATTTGCAGCTAGCCGTGTGCATTAATGAAATTAATTTTTGTGGCAACCGGAAACGCTGGCAGCCATTGCCACAGCGCATCGTAGTACAACGTGTCACATTTCCGTTTTGGCTTTGCCTTTTACTTTGACCAGCTTCACATCTGCTGTGTAGTCGCCATTTCGTTTTTTTTATTTCCATTTCCAGTTTCGACACTTGACCTGCTCGACTGCAATCAGCTTTAATTCAATTTCCACTTGACACGAAAAATTCCGCCAGAGAACCAAATGTTAATAAAAAACCATTAGCCCAACAGCTGGACTTACGAATAGGAATAGATCACAGTTAACTTTTAATTAAAAGTCTAGCGAACTAAACAGTAAAAATATATACACGAGTGTCAAAGTTAAAGGGTATTTTGGTTGCATAGCGACGCGAGCTGCGCGTGGTGCACAAGCATTAAATAATTATTTGAATAAGATATCAACTAATGACAACTAGTCAACAATTGCAAAAGCTTTAAGACTAGACTTTACTCAAGCAAAGCTTCCATATGGTTTCCAAGCTTCAATAAAGCTCTACTTATGACTTAAAGCTTTTACTGGAAACTGTGATACTATACAAGCAAGAAGTTAACTTGCAGCTTTAAGTGAACTCTATTAGAAGAAGTAGAAAAACAACAGGGCGCTCACAAAGACTTAAGTTTATTTTTGTTTTATAAAATCAAAAGAGCTCGCAGCACTTTGCATAAGAATTAAGCTTTTGATAAAGGCACAAAAGCTTATCGCTCGCGTCGCTTAAACATTTATTAAAAATTATTAATTATTGAAGCGTCTAAAGCTTCAATTTTGAGACCAGTAAAAAATATGATGTGTGCTTTTCTCGTTAAGTTTATTATGAGACCTAAAAGAGCAAGGAATTTGTTAATGCTCCTTAACACTTTGCGGCTTAAGTAGATGTGGGTGTGTGTGTGCTTTTATTAAAATCATAAATCTGCATTAAGTGCGCTTGTCTGTAGTTGCATGTACGTATGTAAGCGTATTTCTCTGCGTATGTGGCTGGCATAGCCCAACAAACCGCTTTATATATTTAACTCGAAGCCCGCTGCCGGAAAAGCATTTTTCATTTTTAGTCGCAATTTTTTTCTCTTGCTCGCTTCTTTTTTAATAAACTCTCAGCTGTCTCTAAGCACATGCTCGTACATCCCATTTACCATGTACCAAGCACACACAAATACACGCACACAATCACACACACACAAACACACACACACACACACACACACGAGCGTACACACATGGACGCTATTCATGGCATTCTGTAATTTATTTCGCTTACGCCACAAAAAAAAATGCGAATAATACAGAAAAAAAATTGATTAAAAACCACTTTAATATAGCTCATTGTCACATTTGCCTGCCTGCAGCCAAGGAGAAAGCCTTATAAATGAGCCCGAAAGCTGCTCTGACTGCCAGTTAAATATATCAAGGTTCGGTTTTTTCTAGGCTTAGGAACTGTTGTAGCTGAGGTAAAATTACATTTACTAAGCTCTGCTAAGTCTAATTGTTTTCTTTTTCTTATTATATATTGCTTGAATTTTGTTTTCGGTAGTTTTTTTTTAGTCTTTCAATTATTAATTAAGTAAGCTAAAATAAAAAGTCCACCTAGATAAGCCAAGTAAAGTACATGCCGGGATGTATTTTGAACCTATCTGTGCTCCATAAATGACTATCTGAGCTGCAAGTGCTGGCAGTCCAAGATGAATGGTTCCTCTTGTTCCTCTTCTTATCGCAATCACTGTCTGTTGCATTGTTCTGAATCGGGCAGCAATTATTTTGCCCAACCTATGGCACTATCCCGCACCTTCTCCACCGGGGAACGATTGGAATCCCTTTGATTTCAGGCTATCGCCTTTTGATCCTAGACCACCAACATTTTTAGTTAATGTGAGTTTGTGTTTAATGAATATTTAAGTGCTATTCAAAAAATGACTAATAATTTCGGTACTACTTTATAAGAGTAGATTTTTGCTTAGCTGCGTTTGAAACTATTTTTAAATTACGCAAAATATTTATTTTTATTTTAAAAATTCATAAATTGTTTAAATTGTGTCCAGTGTAGAGTAATATATTTTATTATTTCCACTTGATGCTTTTAAAATTTGGTGCAAGTCACAGTCAGTCTCACAATCACAAACTCATGCTCATCTCTAAGGTGATCACTGTGGGTTTTTTACCCGAGATAAGCTGGCGGGTAAAATACATGGCGGGATTCACAGCAGATTTGTATACAGCAATTTTTCCTATAAAAGGCAATCTTGAGTCTACGATTTGTCAGTCTAAAGAGTAACTTCAAGATGCACAACATATTCTACGTTTTACTATTTGCAATAATCGCCTGCTGCCTTCACCAGGGTCAGTCGAACATACATCGTCATCATCTGCCGCCGCCACCACCTGGAAATCAATGGAATCCCTTTAATTTCAATCCATCGCCCTTTAATCCGGGACAGCCTAGATATTGAAAAAACATAGAATCTTTTAAATCCCTGAGATTTAAATGATCATTAAATGAAACTAAAAGTTTATTTGAGAATAACTCGATGTTCACAAAATAGTTTCTATTAGGGGTATTCTTGCTATTATTAAAATCTGTTATTTAAATCTTTTCTTCTGAATTGCTTGGCTTAATGTTAAAATTAAATTAAAATTGGCTTTTTATTATTATTTTGTTGCGCTATAAGTGTTAACTTGAAAATGTCCGAACCAATCAAATTGGTTGTTTTTCTTATCTTGTTGTTGTTTGCGTTGCACTGAAAAGTTCAAATTACTGCGCATCGTTGCCGTCAATTGTTAGTGTAAAATACCCCAAACAATTAGAAACCACAATTGCTGCCCCGGCAACGTGCAACTTTTCATTTTTACTGGCATTTGCTGGCAGCAGGCTGGCAGCTTTTTCCAATGCTGCCAGCTTCTGGGCAGCTACTGGCAACCGTTTGCTGCAGTCGCCCTTCGCCCACACGACACAGCAGTGGCAGTGGCAATGGGAGTGGCAGTAGCAGTAGCAGTAACAGCAAACTGCAAATGCATTTTGAGGTTAATGCCCCTGGCCGAAACGTAGCTGGCAACTAAGCAGCCACCCAGGCCAGGCCACAGTGGGGGTTCCGGCATTTGCGGGGCTTGCAGGGCTTGCAGGTTTTATAAACTTGCTCAACATTCTGCCTGTCAGTATATTTGGTAAAATTCTTCTCTCTTTAATTTTTTTATATTTTTATTTTTTGTACAGCTCTCAAGTTTTCACTCTGCCTGCAATTTTGCATTTGCCCCCATTGTCAAGTGAGGTGCACATAATGCGATTTTAATACTGATTTCCTGGGGCAACCCTGGCAAAGCTAAGCTCCATCATGTTGTGCTGTGTATGTATATACATATAAATGTGTGTAATTCATAAGCCTTTAACTGTTTATGTGCTGGTACACAGAAATTAGTTGTCAGTCCATCAGTCGCAGGAGTTGTTTATCAGAGTAATAAGTATTTAATAGCTGACAACTAGCATTGAGTTTCTCTCTTTCTCTTTCACACACATTCTGTCCCTGTCTCGCTATCTCTTTTTGATGCTTGGAAATCGCCTTGTGGTCTGTTTGTACTGAATTTTAAGCGCTTAAGCCGCTTTATTCACGGACAAATTGCAATTTGGCATTTGTATCAACAATCCAATATTCGTTTCGTTTGATTTTACATAATTAGTAATGTTGAGAATCGCATAGAAAGGCTGCATTAATGCATATAATATATAGAAAATTGAGTTTTTCTTAAAATTTAGGTATTCCAAAACTGATTTCATTTGTACTCTATAAGATCTGGTAAATGAGCTACAGCATTTAAAATTATCGATATCTGACTTATGATAAATTATCTCCTTAATAAAGTATCGATATATATCGGTATTTTTGTCTTCGAGAAATATCCTTTCAAGCGAATTCTTAGCCGTATCCAGGCAACAACCAAGCAGTTATCTTCCATTAGGTGTCGTGCGAAAAGCCTGCCTCAAGTTTATAGTTGACATTTTTTAATTCCAGCCCATAAAAGTAATGCAAATTGAATATCTATAAAACATGTACAACCTCCAGATGGCCCCTTTTACCAGCAGGTGGCGCACACGGTCCCAACCCCAGAACACTTTAGAGCTGTGTGAGCTGATGCAGTTGTTTTTGGTTAAAAGTCGCGTTTGGAAAGCGCAACACAAGCACACAGCAAAAATAGAGCAGTGTGTGTGTGCGTGTTTGTAAGGGCTTTTACAATCCTATTAAAGTATCAGACAATCTAATCACCGGCAGCTCAAAAACCGCGCACACGCGCTAAACGTTGCCAAAGGACCGCAAAGTAAGCGATGTAGTTGGGCGTAGGAGAAGGAGTTGAGTCTGAAACCGGAAAGGGAACGGCAACGGGTAGTTGTTGCGTTGACAGCGCCCCATTTACAGAATACAGATACACAATCAGATAAGTACAACAATAACAACAACAATAACAACAGGGACAACGCATTACAAGCGAAATGTCCACTAAAACGGCTGCCACTTGAACAAAACCAAAGCCGAAGGCCGACGCAGCAACTGGAGAGGGAATCGTGGTAGCAGCAGCTAGAGCTGGAGCTGGAGCCGAGGCAGCCACTAGAGCTGAAGCAGTGGAAACAGCAGAGCTATTGCCGTAGCTCTAGCCATGCCTTTCATTTTGATGGCCCACTAGGAGAATGCCGTTTGCTGGTTTTGGCATTGTCTCCGTTTCAATTCTGAGGCCATGGACTTGTTGTGTGTGTTGGTTGTTGGTTGTTGTCTGACTGCTGCCTGATTGTTGTGGGTCTGCGTCAGTTTAATTTGAATACACTTAAGTGTACTGCGGTCTGCCAGGGCCGTCACAAGAATTTCCAATTGAAAATCACTTCAGGTTTAATTTGATTGCCGCCGCTGTACGCTCCAAGTCGAAGTCGAAAGTCGTCTGTAAGCAGCT